TTAAATGGATTTGGGGGTAAAGTGCTAAGCACAATGCTTGGTTCATGGTAGCCTGTGCAGCAACAGTACCCATGCTTCAAATTTATGATAATTCAGATACGGCTATTGGATAATTAGGTAATTTCATATATGGAGAAAGTATGTTTTGGATGCAAAAATAATAGTCTAAAATCAACATCAAAGTAATAAATATGAATACGTGTCAGAATAAAGGATTTTCTAAAATAGTAGAAATAACCAGAAGAAAAAAACACAAAGGAAATACCAACTCCAGCACATTCTTATGCATTCATTAAACAGGTCATTTAATAAATTATATTCCTGTTATTCTGATTTGAATCCATATGTACTTTAAAGCAGCAAAATCATATTTATTTAAGAATGTTTCATAATTGAAAGTTTTCAATAAATATGCTTCATTTGTCTATCTCCCCTGCACACAATTTCTTTGAAATTATAAAATTTTACTTCACATAAGAGACCAATTATAATAAAACATTACTTATTTGTAAATCACTTTCACATATCATATTCTACTTAATCAATCCACAAAAATGGGATCCAGCAATGGGGAACAGAAACTCCAAGATCAGAACAGCATTTCAGTTAAAAAGCAAAAAAAAAAAAAAAAAAACAAGGAATGAATGCCCCTATTACCAGTCCCTCCCTGATTCCAGTATCCACACCCACAAGCAAGGTCAAGGCTAGCACGAGCGGGTATAGCTCATCTTTCTTCTTCTTTTGTAACTCCATGGATACGGGAATACTGAGAGACAGATGGAAAGAGGTGAGAGTGACCAGTTCACAAAGCCAGAGCAGAGAGCTCAATTGTCTATGACAAGGATGGGGAGGGTAGGAGGGTAAATCAGATGTCCTCCAAAATCTTCTATGTTAATTCAGGAATGTTCAGAGGTGATATGATGGGATTATCAGAGCTGTTACCTAATTAGTCCATCCTAGTTTAAATGGACTAAGTGGGTAATAACTAGACAGGTGGGGCATGGATGGAGGAGGTGGGTCATTGAGGGCATGCTGGACATGGAGCTACAGTGCTCGTTTGCATAGCTGGTTTTGGTTTCACTTTGGTTCCATCTCTTCCTTCTATATCCCTAATATTTCCTTTTGGAATGGGGATGTTTACTCTGTGCCATTATTATGTTGGTAATTTGCTTTTGATACTCACAGCCAAGATTTTGCCTTGAGTCTCAGATGAGACTTTGGACTTTGACTTTTGGGCAACACTGGAACTGTTAAGACTATGGGACAACTTCTACAACTAATAAATGAATTCAGCAAAGTAGCAAGATATAAAATTAACACCCATAAATCAAATGCATTTCTGTACATCAGTGACACATCCTCTGAAAGAGAAATTAAGAAAACTACCCCATTTACAATAGCCTCAAAAATAAAAATAAAATACTTAGGAATCAATCTAACAAAAGAGGCGAAATACCTCCACAATGAAAACTACAGAATACTAAATAAAGAAATTAAAGAAAACTTTAGAAAATGGAAAGATCTCCCTTGTTCTTGGATAGGCAGGATAAAATACTGTCAAAATGACCGTACTACCAGAAACACTACACAGATTTAATGCAATTCCAATCAAAATCCCAAAGACATTCCTCATAGAAATAGAAAAAGCAATCATGAAATTTATCTGGAAAAATAAGAGACCCAGAATAGCTAAAGCAAGTCTTAGAAGAATGAAGCAGGTGGTATCACAATACCAGACCTTATACTATACTACAGAGCAATAGTAACAAAAACGGCATGGTATTGGCACCAAAACAGACATATAGAACAACAGTACAGAATAGAGGACACAGAGACAAACATAAATACAGTTATCTCATTCTAGATCAAGGTGCCAAAAGCATATACTGGGGAAAGGATAGCCTCTTTGACAAACGGTGCTGGGAAAACTGGAAATCCATATGCAGTAAAATGAAATTAAGCCCCTATCTCTCACCATGCACAAAACTCAACTCAAAGTGGATCAAGGACCTAGGAATTAGATCAGAGACCCTGCACCTAACAGAAGAAAGAGTAGGCCCAAATCTTCATCATGTTGGATTAGGCCCTGACTTTCTTAACAAGACTCCTAAAGCACAAGAAATAAAATCAATAATCAATCAATGGGATGGATTCAAACTGAGAAGCTTTTTATGGCAAAAGAAACAATCAGTGAGGTGAAGAGAGAGCCTACAGAATGGGAACAAATTTTTACCACACACGCATCAGAGAGAGCACTAATCTCCAGGATACATAAAGAACTCAAAAAACTTAACACCAAAAAAAAAAAAAAAAAATTACCCAATCAATAAATAGGCTAAGGGACTGAACAGACACTTCTCAGAAGAAGATATACAATCGATCAACAAATATATGAAAAAATGTTCAACATCTCTAGCAATTAGAGAAATATAAATGTAAACTACTCTAAGATTTCATCTGAGTCCAATCAGAATGGTAGTTATTAAGAATAAAAGCATCAAAAAGTGTTGGCAAGGATGTGAGGGAAAAGGCACACTCTTACATTGCTGGTGGGACTGCAAATTGGTACAACTAACCTGGAAAGCAGTATACAGATTCCTTGGAAAACTTGGAATGGAACCACCATTTGACACAGCTATCCCACTCCTCAGTTTATACCCAAAGGACTTAAAAACAGCATACTACAGTGACATAGCCACATCAATGTTTATAGCAGCACAATTCACAATAGCTAAACTGTGGAACCAACCTAGATGTCCTTCAATAGATGAATGGATAAAGAAACTGTGGTGGAATATTACTCAGTATTAAAAGAGAATAAAATCATGGCATTTGCAGATAAATGAATGGAATTGGAGAATATCATGCTAAGTGAAGTAAGCCTATCCCCCCAAAAAAAACCCAAAAGCAGAATGTTTTTCCTGATGATTGGGTGCTGATTCATAATTGGGGTGCAGGAGGAGTATGGGAGGAATGGAGGAACTGAGGATAGGGCAAAGGGGAGCTAGGAGAAGGAGGGGGAAAGGGGTAGGAAAGACAGTGAAATGAGATGGACATCATTACCCTAGGTACATGTATGAAGACACAAATGGTGTGATTCTACTTTGTGTAAAACCAGAGAAATGAAAAACTGTGCTCCATTTGTGTACTATGAATCAAAATACATTCTGTTGTCCTGTATAACAAATTAGACCAAATAAATAAATGAATAAATTTTAAAAAAGACTACGGTCCTCTTGGAGATGATGTCTATGCATTTTACATTGTGAGATGGACATGCACTTTTGGAGGCCAGGGGCAGAATGTTATGGTTTGGATATGAGGTATCTCCCCAAAGCTCCCGTATTAATGCAAGAATATTTAGAGGAGAAACATTTGGATTTTGAGAGGTGTTACCTAATCAGTCCATCCTAGTTTAATGGACTGGGTGGTGACAGTAGGTAGGTGGGGCATGGCTGGAGGTGGTAGGTCACTGAAGGCATGTCCTGGAAGAGTTCATCTCCTGTAAACACCCCCCCCCCCTTCTTGCCATGAGCTGGGGAACTTCCTTCACTATGCCCTTCCACCATGATGTTCTGCCTCACTTTGGACCCAGACCAATGGAGTTGGCTGACCATGGACTGAACCTCAGAAACTTGTGAGCTAAAAGGAAACCTTTCCTCTTCTAAGTTGCCCTTGTCAGATAGTTTGTTTACAGTAACAAAAAGCTGACTAACATAGTTGGGCACAGTTCAGAATGCCAATTCAAATTGTAATAGGAAAAGGCAAACTAAGGTTTTCAAAATACAGTCAGTCCCTAATTCCTATGACCCTGATTTTTGGCCATACATCACAAAATTCAATCAAACATGATAGAATAGATCTCATCTAGCAAAAATCTAAGAAGGCAGGCCATTGAAGCAGAGCGGTCAACATTTCTTCTAGAAAGAAGGTGCTTCATTGATCCCATGGCATATGTCTAGGGAGTTTTAGTTTCTAAATCCTGAAGAAGACGGGAACAATTGTCAACTGATTGTAGTTATACAGAGTGTAAATGTGCGTGTGTGTTTTGGAAGTGTGACCTCATCATATACCCACACAATTCCACCTAGCGTTCAAGCTTATAAGGTAGGGGTTGTTTTCAGAAGGACCAGTAGTACTGGCCTTGGAAGTCATCTGTGCTGGTGTTTTGTAAGGACAGGGAAGGAGCTTATTCCAAGCCACTCATCAGGGTTTTGTGTGGGACAATGGAAGGCCAACTACCAGTGTAGAGAGGGAGACTTCTTTTCCAAGAGTTCCTTTCTTGGGTAAAGAGGACCTGGAGTAATAACAGGGCTCTTCAAACAAAAAAGTGCCAGCCAGAATTTTAGTTCCGAAGACTCCCCACTGCCCATGGGCTGGGCTTGGCAAGGTGGGAGTATGGTTCTTGTCATCACCTGCAAGAACTCCAGAACAGACAGAATCTGACTTTTAAGAAGATCCTCAGTTGACTTGATAAACACTGGCCCAAGCTTCCTCCAGGTCCCCAGAGAGACACCATAAGAACCTACACCATCGATGGGGCGCCAGGGTGACATGTTATCACTCCAATAACTTCAGCGATACTCCTGAACGTCATTCAGAGAGGTCAACCTTGATTTGCAGGTGAACACTAATCCTGAAGCATCTGAGGGCTTTAGATTTTCCCCCATGGTTCTAAGATGAACTCATGTTCTCAAAAGATGAGAAGGGGCCAGAAAGACTACACACCATTTTGTCTTATTCTTTAGTTGTAAAAGAAAACTGACCTCAAACTCCCTAAGGATGATGCAAAAATAAATCTCCCACTGACCTCCTGGTCATAGAATTAGCCTGTGACTTCAATCTCCAAAGGGCTGGAAACTCTAGGAGGAAGCCTGAGGCCAGCCCAACCCAGGCTGTCCTTCTTCAGGACACTAAGAAGCCCCCAGCAAGCGAGTCCTCGAAGACAACTCTAGCAGCAGTGCAGCTACACATGGTACCTGGAGGGCCATGGTACTCACCAAGGGTTCGGATGGTGTCACTGGGCCAGCTGCGTGGGCTGGGGCCATGGGGATTCACGGCCCTCACGGCAAACTGGTAGTTGGTATCTGGATCAAGGCCCTTGATGACCATGGAGTCCATTTGGATCTGCTCTTCGATTAAGGTCCAATTGTTGTCAAAATCTGGCCTTTTTTTAATTAAAAGGAAGAAGAAGAAAGAAATTGTTTAGAAATCCCATAAGGAAGGGGAGCTGGCTGGTGTGTAAAATAACAGCATTTGAACTCCGGAAGTGACACTCATAAACATGAGTTAACATATCTTATCTGAAAGGGGTCCTGATTTTAAATCATGGGTCATCAACTGGAAGTTCCTGCCAATAAAAGCAAGGACATCATATTTAGGGCCAAGAATCAGCACTGTGTAGAGACCAGCCGCTTGTGCTTGACAGTCTTGACTGCAGTGAAAAGACCCCCACACAGGAGAGTTCATTTTCAAGGACTCTGCTTTCCAGATGTTTCATAAACAAGCCTTCCCTTGGCAGCCCCATCCCCGGAGGTCAGGAGAGTGCAGATTCCATTTATTCACAATCTGTTCACAAATAAACAAATATGAGGTTTATAGGGTGACCGCACAAATTGCTATGGGAAAACCCAAGACAAATCTGTTCGTGGACATTCTTACTCTGAACAATTTATACATCTGTGTCCCCTCGTGGAACGTTCACATGTCCTTGTGAGTGTCCCACAGAGAAGGCAGATCTCCATTTCAGCTCCTGTCTGGTAGGCAACATGTAGAGGGTGAGAGTATATGCTCTGGAGTCAAACAGAGCCACGTTCAAACCCCAGCTCTGTTACTTAACCAGCTGAGACTCCTTTAAGACTCCATTTCTCCTATAAAGTGGGGAATGATGAAGGTCCCTACCTAAGAGGACCGTGGTAGACATGAAATGAAATACACACCATCAGTGTGGTGCCTGACATCCCACTGTAAACACTCAGCCTGTGCCAGCCATCATCTAAGGGACTTGCCCACTTACAGAGCTGGTAACACACAGCTGCCAGCTTACTCTGGCCTTGGATGTGGTCACATGGTACCACTAACCCACGTGGCCAGTCAGCACTTGAAATGTGGCTAGGCTGCATTGAGATGCATGCTAAGTACAAAATGTACAACAGATTTTATTTATTTAGGTACTGGGGATTGAACCCAGGGGGTGTTTTACCACTGAGCTACATCCCCAGGCCTTTTTTGTTTATTTTGAGACAGGGTCTCACTAAGTTGCTTAGGGCCTCACTAAGTTGCTGAGGCTGACCTTGAACTTGCAATCCGTCTGCCTCAGCCTCCCAAGCTTCTGGGATTATAGGCATGTGCACTGTGCTGGTTTGTATAATAGATTTTAATGAAAAAATTAAAAAAGAATGTGAAATATCCCATTGATAACTTTTCATAATGGACACACGATTAAATGACACAATGGGTTAAAATAGTTTATTAAGATTAATTTCATTTGTTTTTTGTTATCTTTTTCAATGGCCCAATAAGAAAATATAAATTTTCATATAGACTTATACTGCATCTCAGTTGGACAGCTGTGCTCTGTATGAATGTCCCTTCTGAAGGGGAGAAAGAAGAGGGTTGTGGGTGATAAGAACAGCAAGATAAAAGCTGGGAAGATCAGTGTGTGAAGGGGTCAGTGAGAATGAATGGCCTAACTGGAGGATTTGTGTCAATAGCTGATAAGAGCTATCTCTTTGAAGTGCTTTCAAAGTACTGAGCACAGTTCTAATACTCATTTACTACCCCCAGCTGCCCTATGCAGCAGATACGAAGAGTGAGCACTCGACCCATTTGCTGTTGTTGTCTTAAATACAGAGGAGGAAACCAAGGCACTGAATAGGTAAGAAACTGGCTCAAGGTCATATGCTGAGAAGTGGTGGGGCTGGCTTGGTTCCTGAGGTGAAGTTAGATTGAGAAGATCCTTGGCATTAGATAAAAACTGCAGTGATGGTGGGTAAGGGCTACTCTCCCTCCTTCTACTTGTTCCCTGGCAATGTTCCTTTAAGATGTCCTACCACTAAACACCTCTGCTCACATGTATTTAGAGGAAGGCAGGAAGCAAAAAAAGGTTAGCCTTGTCTTTGATGAACAACTTACCAGGCAAGGAAATTGAGACTCATTATGCTAAAAAAAAAATGTCTGAATGAACCCCAGATTTCCCTTTTTCCTTCCCACATTTTTCATTGGTGCATTATAGTTATATAACAATATAATTTGGCCAATATCATTCCCCAGTATTTCCTCTTTTCCTTCCCCAATCCCTTTCATCCGTTCTACTGATCTCCCTTTGATTTTCATGAGATCCATACCCCCATTTTCTTTTCCTTTTTCCTCTCTAGCTTCTGCATATGAGAGAAAACACATGACCCTTGACCTTCTGAATTGGGCTTATTTTGCTTGACCTAAAGGTCTCAAGTTCCATCCATTTTCCTGCAAATGCCATAGTTCCATTTTTATGGCCAAATAAAACTCCATTGTGCATATATACCATATTTTCTTTATTTATTCTTCCTCCATTGATGGGCACCTACACGGGTTCCGTAGTTTGGCTATTATGAACTGTGCTACTATAAACATGGGCATGCATGTGTCACTATAGCATGATGGCTTTAATTCTTTAGGATAAACACCCAGAAGTGGTATAGCTGGGTCTTATGGTAAGAAGCACAGATTTCTTTAATATGTGTCTGCCTAGTATTTCATTGGTAGGAATCACTCAAAGCCCAGTCACCAGATGCTTCCTCAGCTCACTGTGCTGAGGAGAGGTTTGCAGGGCTGGACCTCTTAAGAATTTTCATGCTTAGAAAAGTAAATTTCACAGAGCACAGGGCATGCCCCCTGGAGAAAGAGGGCTGACTTCTTCTTCCCCTTACTCTTTCCCTAAAGATGGGCTTCTCATGTAAACTAATTTTATCATCAAAGAGAAAACTGCAGTGAGTCAAAGGAAACACATTTATAGACTCAAATTAGAACAAAATCACTTCACAGAGGAACACCACAGGGGATACCTGAAAGAGAGTCCAAAAAGATGAGCTCTTTAGATAAAATTCTCCTGCTATCCTTTGCAAAGCTTTCCTTGTGATAGTTACAGAGAAAATAACTCAGATCTGTCCTCAGAGTATGCTGTTGTTTACCCAGCGCTACCTGTAAACACCTATGGCATCCTCATGTAAAAGTGATAGCAAAAGAAAGAACACAAAGATTATTTTGTATTTGTCATTCATTTAATGTAGGGAGAGAAAAATCTATGTTGGATGAATAAGAGATTGAAATCATTAACATTTAATTTCATTTTATAGAGTGAGAGGGAGGCTCATGCAGATTAAATACCAGTGGAAACCTTTAACATTTTGCCTGGGATGTTGTCATGTTTTCCATTTGAATGTTTTTAGAGTCTCTGGAGGTATAAAAGGGCAGAGGTGAGTTGAGAAAGAGATAACCAGGCAAAAGTATTGTCTTAAATCATCCTCAACAATAGTTTTATCTTCCCTGACTCAAGAAAATCATTGTACCCTAACTGCAAAGTTTCCAACCAAATCACCATAGCAACACTTTCCCTAACATTGAAAAGGCCAGACAAGGAGGAAGGTGACAGAGATGTGCCGCCATCCCAGGTAAAGATGGACGGTTGCCAGCAGGACTTGCATTTCAAGCACTTGTCCAAGAAGTGGGGTAGGGTGGGATATGGCATCCCACACTTCAGGAGAGCAATGGCCTGCCTTTGGAGGTGGTTGGGCAGGGGAGACTGGGTAGAGCATCTGTTGTGTGGTCAGCAGTGGCTACTCAATGCCCAATTACTCAATTCCTAATCAAGCCACTCACTGGTTCATTTTGGCAGGAAGAAGCACTTATCACTGGCCACCTCAGAATCCATCCTGACTATCAGGACTAGGTGGAATCTTCCAGATCCTTTGGTCCAAGTGTCTGAGGATTTGCAGAAATTATATGCAAGATTTTAAATGTGAGCACTTTCTTCATTTTTCTAAGGAGAGACTCCTTAGCTTTTATCAGATTTTCAAAGATAATCAAGATTCCCCAAATTTTAAGAGCCAGTGGTCTAGTTTAGTGTTCATTCTACCCTTATGGATACAAAAGGGAAATTATTTACCCAAAGTCACAGAACCACTGGGTGGAATATTTTTCTGTTTCATTCCTTTTCTTTTCTTTTTTTAAGTTTTGTTTTGTTTTTGACTACTTTGCCCATTGCCAATCTCAGATTTATTAAACAATTATTTTTCTTTGAACTATCATATTCAGCAAGTGGCTGCCTTGAACTAGTCAGCTGGCAAATGATTAATGATTGTCAAGCATGCTTCCATCATAGAAGTTATATTCTAAGGAATGCTCCTAGAATGTATAAACACAGTCCAGGCTAAGGGAGTTAATAATCCAATTGGGGAAATAATATATCTAAGGATCAGTGCAGGAATAAAACATCTAAGGACCACTAGGAAGCAGTGCAATACAGCATTTTTCAAGAACTGAAATGCTGAGGAAAGTGTATTTGGTTTTGGATAACTGAGAAGGAGTTGAGAATCCTTGGGTGGAGAAGAGACCAGAGCGATACCAGCTGCATATGATACAAATATATTAAGCATTAACCACATGTAAATTATCAAGTGGGATAACCAAAGAGAGAAAATAATACGGGTGCTGATATGAAAGACCATTTAATCCATACGAAAGATAGGTTTGTCATATAAAAACATTAGCCATTAGTAGGTAAATAAGTAAGGCACTTTTTTTTTTTTTTTGAGAGAGAGAGAGAGAGAGAGAATTTTTTAAAAATATTTACTTTTCAGTTTTCTTTATTTTATTTTTATGTGATGCTGAGGATCGAAGCCAGCGCCCCGCGCATGCCAGGCAAGCACCTTACCATTTGAGCCACATCCCCAGCCCCAAGGCACTTCTTTACATACACACATGGTCAAGGTTTTCCTTATTAACATCTACTAATCAAATTCCCAAGTTGACCAATGATCCTCATTTGTTCTCACCAGTTGAGCAACTGGCTCATCAATAGTCAACTAAAAAGACACTTCTTAAAAGAAGAAATACAAATGATCAACAAATACGTGAAAAAATGTCCAACATCACTAGCAATTAGAGAAATGCAAATTAAAACCACAT